ATCCAATGCTACCTTTGAAAACCTTTATACATCTCTACCCACGAAGAAATTTTTCACAACAAGTTTACTTTCTCTTCTTGCTCTCAGATTTATTTCCACAAATTTCTACCATTCTCAGCAACGAAAAATGGCAGCTATTCCTTACCTTAACAGCGTACTTCAATAATTTTATTCAATTTGACAATACATCTATAAACAAGTACAGGGAATCCCTATGGGCGGGAATTTTTTTTTCAACTTCAGTTTGGAATTATTCCTGTTTACTAAAGAATTGACCTATGTACGTTCACTCAGAACGGAAGAAAGTCTCTTTTTCCAGCACATCTATAGATCTATTGATGATTCATAGCATTTAATAACTACAACAAAATAGAAATCGCTAATATCTACCCTGCTTGCTTAAAACTAAATAAAACCAATACAGAACAGCATAATGTAGTCTACCTTGATTTAACATATTATAGATTACAATTTTATTAAAGTTTACGACAAAAGAAGAAAATTTAATTTTTCCACACTTAAATAACTAACTGGATTCAAATATTTCCAAAAGTGTCATAATCAACACAATTTATTCACAGCTACTTAGAATAAAAAGAATTTGCAATACTGCGGAACACTTACAAGAAGAAATACTATACTTCGTAACTATTTTAAAAGTAACCAAATAACTCATAAAATAATTTAAAATTCCTTTACCAAAGCTGCATAGCCTTACCTATTTTTTTTTTTGAATTAGATTTTTTATACTTTTATTTTAAATCAGAGACTAAGTAAAAATGATTGTGCATCATTTTTTGTTTCTTGTTCCTCTTTCCTCCACAAAATTTTGGCACTTTAATCTTAAAATAATCTATAGTGTGTACATAATTTTAAATTTCTGTAATGGCCAATTTACTGCTTTTTTAACAAATCGGACTTTTTTTTTCATTTTTCATAGAGCTTGATCGCCCGCTAGCTTGAAGAATTCGACTTTTTTAACAAATGACTGTTTTTTTTTTTTTTTTTTCCTTTTTCTCTCTTGGTTTAATGGCCAGTTTTATAGTTTTAGCTGAATTAGCCATTTTCACTTCGAAAAAAAATTTTTCCATCCTACACAAGCCAAGCGCGCCATTTTTTGAGATTTTACACACACGGTTTCCGAGGTTTCCGGCCCCCTTCGATAATAGGAGACGAGTTGCAGATAAACGAAAATCTCTTCGCATTGGCTAAATGCCCACAGCACTTCGCTCCCCCCTACGTACGTCATCCAAATGAAAGACACAGAAGTATAGCAGCACCGTTTTTCAACAAGTTTAAGAGGGACAAGCTTGCAATCGCCAAAGGTCAGTTTTTGTTTCTTTTGTTACAACTTTTTCTTGGTCTTAGCAAGATCCACTTAGTTTGTTTTCTTCTTAATTTTGTTTTTATTTTATATTAATTACAGGTTTTCATTACTGTTTTCCTAAAATCTATTATTTTAAAATTTAAAATTGTTAATCTTTAAAGCTAGCAGGCCCAGCCCGTTGTTTTTTGTATTTTTAGGGCTAATAGCTCATCGCTATTTTTTCGTTTTTTGATTTTAATTTTAATTTTAGTCTAGATTTAGGAAGTTTAGGTTTGATTAGCATATTTAACACCTTAATGTGTCATTCTGTGCCGGACGCGTCGGGAATTGGAACAGAGAATTGAGACTATTAAAATTTCCAAGACACTTTGTCTAAATTTTAAAAAAATGTTTAGCGAAAAAGTTTCAATTGTCTGTTTCGCGCGAAACGCGTAATGGGGGTTAGCTGATTCGACTTTCAAATAAATAAAATTTCTTTCCCTTGAAAAGCCTGTTTGGAAGTCGAATTGGGCTAATTTACCATTTTCCGCTTACTTTTTTACTTTTTGTTTTTTAATATTTTTTTTAATGTTTACATGTCTAATGATTTGATTTTCATGTGTATTAATTTTTTTTGAAAACGTGTTGAAACCTTTTGGAGCAGCAGCTCTTGGTAACTTTAGTGAGCTTACTACAATTTATATATAATATATATATATATATAATTGACAATTGACAAAACGCACTCTAAGATTTGTATGTTCATATTTCTTCAGGGCAGGGAGTAGATAAATTTTATTAAATTTTATAAAGTAACAGGTAAAATGAGTAGTCCTGAACGTATGGATGACAGAAGGGGATGGAGGATTTTTTGTAGACTACAGAGAGAGCAATCACAAACTGAGGTGGCTACAGAGCTCAGTGTAACGCCTAGTGCCATCTGCAATTTGTGGAAACAGGTCAAGGCCCTGGATCCATATTGCTGAAACCTGGACGAGGTCGACTAAGATCCGCAATGACGATTGAGGATCGCCCGATCCTCAATCGTGGGGACTGCTACAACTTCACAGCACTTACTTGAGCTGTATGCTGCGACGGGAAGCCGAGTTTCATGGTCTACAGTCGTTCGAAGACCTCATAAGGCAGGTCTTTATACCAGAAAGACCGCTGTTTGCGTCCCGCACACTGCTGCACATAAGTAGGCACGTTTAGCATGGTGCAGACAACATGCGCCTTGAACCAGACTTCAGTGAAGCATTGTGCATTTGCAAATGAGTCTAGATAGAGCCTGAGGACACTGGTTCTCGGCATCTCCGTATCTGGAGCGAGCCTTGAACACGATATTTTGCCTCCCTGATCAGGAAAAGGGATCATTAAGGTGGCCGAGGTGTAATAGTTTGGGTAGGCATTATGCTAGACAACCGAATATCCCTGTTTGTGTTTGACAAAGTGTCCCTGACTACTGTGAGATATCGAGAGGAAACCTTAGAAGCTTATGTCTGACTTTTCAGGTCGCAGTTGTTCCCGGTTTTTGATAATGAACACAACGTTCGTCTGTATAGAGCTGAGCTGGTTGCTGATTACCTAGAAAGTGAGGATATTCGCTGCATGGAATTGTCAGCCAGGTCTCCTGACCTTATAAACCTGTTTGGGAAGCTTTTGTGAGAGTAATTTCATCTCGCCATCTTCCTCCGAGAACCGTCTCAGAATTGAAAACTACCTTGCTGCAAGAGTGGAATCGGCTGCCACAGGGGCTGCTGAACTGCCTCCTGTCCACGCAGCCGTTACGCTGCGTGAAATCCGGTTGTGTGAAGCGATGATATCCAATATTAAACTGATTTTCATTTTGATATCACAACGTGGATTTTAGACATCTCTGTTCTATGAGCTTTAATGATAATCATGCTTGCATGAACTGACTTTTGATTGGTACATTTCTTTCTCGGTTATAAATGCATGTTCCCACCAAATTTCATTAATATCTGCCGATTAATCCCTGGTATAAACTTTGCCATCGGCTTGGCTATTCGACTTTATCTTCCTGGAGGCTGACATTGTTCCAGAACTCTTAAGCTTGGATTAAGGGATGTGTTATTTCGAAAACCGAGTAGATGAGAAGTCATTTGAGAGACATTACAGAGAAGAAATTTTTCCAGATTCACCTCTATCCACTCTGTTTCCTAAATAAATCGATCCATAGTGAAAAATCAGGTGACAAATATGAAACAGATACCTTTCGAACTACAAATCGAATGATTGCGCTTTGTAATAGAAATAAAATGTTCTTGTTTTAAATGGTTGGACACTTGGAACTTAATGCATTTGTTGGAGATAGCCAATATCTATGGATTATTTAGACATTTCATTGCTTAAAATGTTACTTTGAATTTCTAACATGAACTTAGAATTCTTCACATGATCCTGTAAACTTCACCGTTTTAAAGATAGCGTACTCCTTCAATATCTGCTATATCGCAATGAAGGTGAATGTATTTAGAAATATAAGAATGCGACAGAAGCTTTTATGATTACAGGAACGCATGAAACAAATGAATGAGGACATTGATTGTCTAGAAAATCAACAACTTGAAAATGCAGTTGACCAAGTACATGCATTTAAGATATTTATTCAAGAACCTAAGCTTGTGGATAATGACTATGAAAATATAATGGATAATGTGGATAATGTCTGATAGATCGATAAAAGATCATAAGTTTCAAAAAAGGACAAAAAGTAATAATTGCAGTTCAGAATGAGGTGGTTAATGGTTTTTTATTCAAAACTTTAAAGAAAAATAATGGAGTATAAAAGAGAAAAAATAATGAAGTAAATTGAAGCAATTTATTACTAGAAAGAGAGGTTCAGGAAAATGTTTTATATTGTATCTCCTCAAGAACTAGGTAAATTGATGTAATGGTAGAAACGTTATGAAAGTATATGCATTAGTTCAAATAATGGCAACGTTGATAGAGAATTCCATATTGGATAGTACTTTGAAGCTACTAATTTGAAGCAAAATTGTTCAAATAGCAGTACTGAATAGAATTTACTTAAGATAATTTACAACATAATGATATTAAATTCGTTTCATTAGATGAAATATCAATGGTACCGCATGAAATACTGTGTATAAATGATTCAAAACAAAGCCACTGAAACATTGTGATTACTTTTGTTTCTTAATATAAACGGGATACTCTTAAGCGAGTTCATGCAGCTAACACCTGTCAGCGGAAGTCAAGTGTCCCGTTAGCATAATCATTTAGCACCAGAAACATTGGCGATTGTTTTCCGTAGAAGGCCTTTTGCGACAAGAAGGAAGGACTACTTTCATTACTATTCTGAATGATTTGCGGACTGAAGAACTGAAGAAAAAATTGAGCTGGATAGAAAAATTCTTTAAGAGCTTATCCTGCTAATTATTTTACCATTTTAAATAAAAGCAAATTTTGTAAAAACGTTTTTATTTAATATTTTATTATTATTTTTTATTTATTTTTTTTCTGATTTCCAGCTTATCAGATTATAAATTTTACTCTGTAATGCGTCTTATATCGAACAATTTGTTTAATTATAGTATTAATTTTTAACAAAATTTCGAATCTTTCTTCCGTTTCATCACTTGATATCATTTTACATTATATTTCATTCTACTTTTGAAGCAGATTTGAATAAAAGAAACTTTTCACTTACATCTTATTCGGCTGGTGCTGCCCCATCCCATAGAAGTCGTGTTTAAGTACTCCATATCATCGGTGTCTGGTCTCGCCACGCAAATAGGTTTCACTAATTCATTGAAAATTATAGTTCCTTGGGTTGTTAAAAGGGCCAAATCATTATCGAAGTGATCATAATTGGGGTGAGGTGTGAAGCTATTGAAAAATATTCTTCTTCCCAAATGTCTGTTTACATCACCTATTATTCCGTAAAAGGAAGTAGTCCACTGTAGAACTCCTTCCCTAAATTAGCAAGACAAAATGAAATAAATTGGAGGATTCATTTAACGTTACTTTAAGGAAAACAATTAGTATGTGATAAATCAAAAATAAAACATCCGAAGTTATTAATTTGTATGCATCTAATGTTACTACGTGTTTACATTTCTTATAAGGAATTTGCGATTAAAGGTCATCATGTTTAACCCATAACTTCGCTAATCTTCTTCGCTAATTCTTCTTAAAATATGCCTATCCTTCAGGCAGAGTTACTTCTTCATTGTCGCGAATTATTCTCCTGACTACCAATCAACTTGCATCCAGCCACAAATTTAAAATTGACAAAACTTTATTTATGTTAACAAAATTTGTTTATCCACCCTCACGGATTGCAAAAGTGAAACCGTACGATTATAAATGTCGATTCTTCTTGATAATAATGTGTAATACTTAAATTAACTTTTGTTGTAATATTACAGCTGCCAAAATCAATTTGTCTAATTTAAGACATTAACTTATTTCCTTACCTAACCGCTGTAAAATAATTTTTCAATCTCAGATTGCTAACAAGTATCATCTGGAGTTCCTTGTCTTGTTCACGAAAAGATTGGTGCCGACTTATCGCTCCGTAATGAATAAGTTAATCTAACTAGCTCTTGAGCTCCCTTTTGTGTGCTCTTAACTTGCATAAGCTTAGTAAGTTGTTTAGAGAGAATATATGTAAATAGGAAGTATAATAGTGGGAAAGGTATAATAGTGCTTTAATTTTAAGGTTGACATTTAGTAAAACTTAAAATAATAGCTACAAAGCAAAACCCTGATATTAGAAAGGCGAAAGTGTATGCCGTGGACGCAATCAGCTGATCAAGATTAACCTTCCAGCACACGCGCTTGGCAATTTTACATGAGCACGCGCGCGTCGTATTTTTTACGACATCCGTTATTTTACCGTTTTTGGCACGAAATACGACAGAAATGAGTGAATATTGATAATAAATTTATTAAGAAATAAAATATTAATCTTATTATTGCAAAATACAAATGATATCACATTCAAATAAAGTAAATTATTTTTAAGTTTTTATGTTAATGAGATGGAAATGCAAAGATGTATTTCATTATAGAAAATTTTAAATTTTATTTAATAATTATATTTTAAAATCGAAGCTAATTTTAATATTCATCGAAGACAAGTGTAGACAATAAAAAAGGAAAACACCTTGGTAGGAAAAAAAAAGTAAGTTTAGCATTACTTACTTTTGCAAGAAATTACTGGTTACAAAAACGCACTTTAAACGAACTTTAATGTTTTTATTTATTTCTAAAAAATAGAAATAAAAGAAAATAAGGAATGGAAATCGCTATTCTCCCATCCAAAGGTTTCCTTATCTTCATTTTCTCCATCAGATAATTATTAAAGAATACGAGCTAAATCAGCTGGTTGCACATATTTTTTTCCCATGAAAACCGATATAAAATTTATGTATTCAAATGTATTCAAATTAAAATAATACACGGCATTTAATAACATAAAATTACGAAATATTTGAGAAAAAAAATTTTTCCGAATTTTAAAACACGACCACGCGCGTGTCGTAACTTTTATGAAAAAGCTGCCACATAGCACAAAAGCCCAGTTAAAAAATGACTTCCTGTTGGCACATTCCATGATGTGGGAAAGGGTAGAAAGGAGGAATAGAAATTACCTTCAAACGTCTCAGCTTCGATATGCGAAAAATGTGCATTAAAAACTGAATTTGTCGTAAATTTTGCTCATACGCGCGTGATGGAAGGTTTAAAGAGATTCTCCTTTTCCCTCCTTTTCTCGCGGAACTTGAAAGCATGGATGAATTTTTCACTATCTGCGGGAAAACTTGAGCGTTCATTGTTTAGTGTTTATACTGATTTATTATTATGATTTAATTAAAGAAAAGACAAGTCTTCTGCGACGAAGTTTTTTTTTTTTTTTTTTTTTTCAATTTGTTTAAAGTACTGTACGAAGCTTGCTATTTATATTTCTGGCCTTGGCAACAGTAATGGTGCTAGGTGACCGCAGATAATTCCAATCGAAAGTCTGACATTTTTTACCATAATTTCTTTAGAACGCTTTGATAGTTTAGCATTATCTGCGTTGTTTACAGTAAACTGAAAAATTCATCTCGGGAAGAAAGCGGAATTGACTCGAGAAGACTTTCGTGTGATTATTTTTGATAACTTTCGACGTGGATTATGAAGACAAGAGTGCTTTGATGAACTTAGTTCTTTATACAGCGATAAAGCAATATCCTACAACACTGTAAAAAACTGGTATAACGAATTCAATCGTGGTCGACGATCGCTTCAGGATAAATTCCGTGAAGAACGCCCAAAATCGGTTGTTGAGCCAGAAAATATTGACGCTGTGCTTGAACTGATAAAGCAAGATCGTTGTCTGACATAATGTGAGATTGAGGCATCTTTGGGCATGAGCATGACAAACATCAATAAGATGTTACATAAACTGTAAAAAAAGATTGCATAATCTGACAAATGCTTAAATAAAGGCTCGTGTCGATTGGTGCAAGGGAATGTTGGAAAAATACGTTCAAAGTGAATCAAAGGCTCTGTATAACATCTACACAGGTGTCAAATCATGGATCTATGCATATGAGCGCGAAACTATGCAAAACAGAAGTCAACTGTATAGATCTTCCAAGACGAGACAAATCAAACAAAATTTGTTCGCGGAAGAAGCACATTGAAGCAAATGGTTGTTTGTTTCTTCGGTATTACCGGTCAACGTGGAGACAATAGAGTTAGAGCAGCGCAGGATGGTCAATACCGAATGGTAAACGACCATTTATTTGCCAGAAGTCATTGGAGAAATTCGAAAAAAAGCAGAAGTGAATCATTCTTCATTATGACAATGCGAGTTGTTACTCATCGGCTCAAACAAAGGAATTTTTTGGCGTGCCGGAACATCGAACTGATGGGTCATCCACGTACAACCCCAATTTGGCAGCCAGTGACTTTTTTTTTTATTCCCGCACATCAAAAATAAATTACGTGGTCAGCGATTTGCGACACCCGAAGAAGCGGTTGATGCAAATTCAAAACGCATGTTTCGGAGTTACCTTAATCGGAGAGAAAAAAGTGCTTCGAAAATTGGTTCAAAGGCATACAAAAGTGTATTGATCTTCATGAAGAATATTTTGAAAAATATTAAACCATTTTCTATCATAAACATTTGTTTTTTCATTATTAGGCCAGAAATATAAATAGCAACTCCCACACATGTTTATTACTAACAGTGTTTTTGTACGAAACATCTTTCCCAGCTAATTTTTTGATTAACTTCATTAGCTAATTTACCTTTATTTCTCACTGTTCTGCAAAGTCTGAGTTATGTTGCTAAGTAACGCCAAAACATAATTGATCTAATTTCGTTTAATCTTTATTTGATATTATTTATTTATTATTTAATTTCGTTTAATGTTTGCTTAATCTTGCCACCAAGACTCAAAATGTATATGCAACTTTAAAGTTGGATTTATTGTCTACTTTCTAATTCTCTCTTTCTCATTCATATGTAATTCATAAGAGAACGCGAATTTTACTCGTTTACTGATTTGATTCGTTAGAGAATCGGAAACTTACTAGTTTGTTATAACTGGATATATTTTTAGGTATTCGTAGATTATTAGACATAGATGAAGAAGTTAATCACATTTCTTTCCCTTCTTTTAAAATTTCCAAAAATGAAATGCAGTGACTTTAGAAATGGTAATGGGAAAAATGATTGTCAAGTAAATGATAATTGATAGATGAAGGAGTAGTTTTCGATTTTTAATTTAAATTAAAGAATAATAAATGAAATTGCGTACATTTACTTATTAGTTATGCAATAGTTTTTTGAAAGGCATGAATTTGTTCATTTCAAAAGGGAAACATAGAATCAGGCCATCTGTGAAGGCAATTAAAAGAGAAATATGTGAACATAGAATTTAAATTTAGACAAAAAATGCTATCTCAGACTGGCGTAGTTTTCGAATAAAATTTTATCTATTTCTAGCGCTGTCTGATAATATAGTGCATATAATGTACCCAGTTGTACATACGCTTTGCACATCCTACACTCCAAGTTCATGCAGTGTATAAACGATTTAATGTATTTCAATAATTTAATAATTTACATTTTACATCTTGCATCTTTCTGAATAAGCAATGATGTTATGACAATAAAATAATGTGTTCTGAAAACCAATATGAGTAAGATTAAGAATATTTTTTACCAGAAAAAACGCACAAAAAATGCCTTAATACAGAATATGCCCTTCCTTTTTAACATGAGCTTTCAATGTCATCTCCTCTCCATGCTGCTTATTATTTGCTAGATGCTTCAGTGTTCAGTGGGAATGCCGTTTACATTCCAACCTCGTTCCTACTTTTTAAAAAATAGTTAGGAGGACAGAAGTTACTCACATTTGTTTTCTGAGAAACGCCACAATCGCTATAAGTGATCAAGGTCTATAGTGTGAGATATTTAACATTACATACTTAACGTACATAATAGTGAAATGAAGTAGTGTACCTTACTATTTATTACGGAATTTATTAAGATTTACAGTTTGTATGGAGACAAAACGTGTAGATTTCTTGTTTTACATTCATAACGTGCACATTGATAATTTATAACACGCATTCAATTTACATTAATAATGTATATGCAGTTAATATTTTTTCGTTTGCAGGTATTTATTCATATGTTTTACATAATACTAGGCCTTATTATCTGTGCACTACGAAAGCACCTAGAAAATAATATTTAAATATTATATTTTCCTATATTTTAAAGTTTTTTACCTTGAAGTAAACAAGAAAGAAGTTAAATTCAAACAGCTCAGAATGTGTAGAGCTGTAGTGAGAAGGTGTGTCAAGTACTTCAACTTTGACATAAACAAAGACAGCGGATGGTTTTCAGGAGATATTTTAGCCAAATCTGAGTAATTCAATTTTTCAGTATTTTATGCTAGACTGGTGTTTAAATTGGTTTTCAGGGCAAGCAGCATTCCCTATTCTTAAGGATGCTAAACAATTTCGTATATCTACAGATACTTTAGAAAGTTGTCTGTATTACGCTATGTTTGCTATCTAGCCACAGATGTTTAGTTTTTGAGCAGCGTATCCAGTAAGGTTCAAATAAATTATTAGTTTGCTATTGCATCCGGGCCACTAACACCCGAGAAAATAGACATGCTATCTTCTAAGCCTTGCTAGATCGTACAGCCGGTCATTTACTGTGAGTCAGGAGACTTGAAACACATCCAGGAGAAAAGCCCGCAAGGACAGTGACATCTGAAAAGCCACGTAATGACAGCACGGTGACCATTGTTTTCATGCTTCCATAGATGCTGCAGCAGAGACACGCGCACCTACCAGTGGTGCGACAACGAACACTGGAGTAGCACCCCGCCATCTTTCCAAACTACTCTCATTTCTTCTTGCCCCACCACGATGGAGGTAACCTTGTGTTGAGGCACAGCGACAAACGAACGTTGCGAGCTTGCATTCGTATACGAATTCAGCAACAGCTACCATTAGGTACATATCCAGGTCATTTCTTGTTATCACAGCCGGTAATGGAGGTAACCTTGTGTTGAGGCACAGCGACAAACGAACGTTACGAGCTTGCATTCGTATACGAATTCAGCAACAGCTACCATTAGGTACATATCCAGGTCATTTCTTGTTATCACAGCCGGTAATGCGGACAGCCGCAATTACTTTTCTGAAGTTTTAAGGTCCGTGGTCTTTTGCCTGCTTGAATCTCCCAACAAGATAATGCACGACGTATATCGTGTTATCGTGATATCGTGGTCTCCTGATATCATGTTCCTCGATACAGAAGGTATTCGACTTTTGCCCTGGTTGGCACGATCTTCAGATCACTAACTCATTCAAAATATCTGGTTATTGGTTGACAGAGATTGGTACGCCACCACTCAACAGCTACTACAAGTGATGAACTTTGGAAGATCTGAAGGGGCATTTAATTAAGCACTCGTATCTGTCATTTAAACTCAGTTCTATTAGATACCCAGCCGGATTACAGCAGTTGCTACTGCTAAAGATGGTACCTCTGTGTACTGAATTCATTGCGCTATGTATTCCAAATCATCTGCAATTTAAACACACGTTTCGGTCATAATACTACTTTATATGTATGATAAATAAGTTTCTACTATTTACGTTCCTTCCTGATCTAGCAATTTTAATGGCCAACAGTATATTTCCGAAATATACTGTTGCAAAAAATGTAAAAAAGCAAAAAGAATGCTAAGATAAGTGCTTTACTTACATAATGATACAATGTGCAGCCGTCAAAATAGATGTGTTTGATACTATAGCGCCAGCACAAATAATTTCGTCTTTGTAATATAAAGCAACCTAATAAAAAAGCGAAAATTATAAAGTGAGGTAAAACATTATTATAAACGTATGACTTGGCCTTAATTTTAGTTATATTAGTAAAAAATAACGTTCAAAATTGTCTTTTTTAGCAATAATCATGCTCACATACTTAATATAAGCTGTATAACTAAGTTTTTAGAAACGAACATTGGCAAAATTTAATTCTCATTCTCTTGTTGTTACGAAATTTCATCTTGCATGCTGGTTGGTTGATTGATTTTTAATTATAGAGATCAATCATATTGGTTGAAATTGCTCATCAAGAAATTGTGCTTATATTTAAAAAAAAGTATTAGAAAAAGAAAAGTTATTAAAAGCTCTATGTAAAGAAAGATTTAATTTAATTTAAAACTTAGTGGCAGGGTCATTGTGCTGTCACTTATTAATGCAGTATCCTTTAATCTAGCGATTCGAAATTTAATTTCTATTTTTTAAATCTCAATTCTAAAATTTCTAAACTGAATTCAACTGCATTTTGAACTCTTGTTTTTAAAAATATTGCTCATTTCTTAGTTGAGGTGGAATAAAACGTTTTCACAATTCGATTCGATGGAGTCAACTTAAACATATTGGAATACATATTTTTTATTAATTCAGAACGTTTTTTATTTAGAAGAAACTTTTACCAAATATTTTGCCATTTATTACACGCATAAACAATTGCAATTATTCCCCTTTCCTTTCATTTAAATTTTCAGAAATGAAGAACCATTACAAATTTGTTAAACATTTTTTTTTAAATGCTTATAATGAAATTTATCTGTGTCAGTTGATTATTTATAAATTTATATTTTTGCTGAGAAAGTAAATTTATAAATAACACAACAACGTTGTATAATTACCTTGCATACTACTGTCACTTCTTAAAAAATAGTGTTTATTTTGCAAATGAATAACAATAACTGAAAAATTACCATCCATGGAAACATTCCTTGCTTTGCATTTCGTCCTCCTACAATTAATGGAAAACCCCTCGTAGCTTGAGTTTCATCGTCTGGAGTCCCTGCAGTAATACAAAGTAATTAATATATCACTTCTCCCATCTTTTCATCTATTGAAGTCTCTAAAAAAGCAATTGTCTTACTTTCAATAACGCAGTAAATTTTAAAATATCGGTTACTAATATATCGGTGAAACCTATACTGTAAATATTGGTGGGCTAGAGAGTTGTTGCAGTTGACATCCAAATACTAAATTTTTCTTTCTTTCTTTTTTAAATACTTAAGCGGTTCATATGTTTTTCCATTTTGCGGCTTCTATGTGGTTATTGTTACTGTAATGAGGTTAACTACTGTTTTGCCTTTTTTTAAGTCTATTTTTTTTCCTTTGCATGCTTCAATCTCACGCATTTTGGATGCGTGGAGGCCAAAGATGTATAATCACATGCCTTTGTAATTAAAAGAAAAAGTCTTCTTTAGGCCAATGTGAAAAACAATCGGATGGCCAAGCTGATATAGCAAGAGTAATTAAGCATTAATAGCAATAATTAAGCACGAATTAAAGTTCTCACAACAGATTTACTACTTTTATAACGATATCTGTCTGTATGAGTGTGACAATTTTCGCATCGACGACAACTTTTATAAGAAACTTATACCAATGTATATGAACCAAAATTCTGTAGCTAAGCTTTCTACATTCACATGAATATTTGACTGAATTTGTGGTCAAAGTGGAAAACCGGAAGTAGTACTTTATAGAAAGCTCATAATAGTCTTTTAATAGACAACCGAAAAAGGTACCTTATTTGAAACCCATAACAGTTTATAGTATTTTAATGAAATACTATATTAAAATGTAATCTACAAATTTTCAGTTTTAGAATTTAAGACTTATATCAATGAGAAAATGTATCCCATTTTGGCTAAAATTTATGAACCATAAAAGATGCTTCATTTGAAGCTTTGAACAACTCTTCCTAAGAATTATGATTATATTATGAGATAATTCAGAACTTTTCAGATTTGGTACTTGAAATAGGAATGTGATTCAGAGCAATGTATTATATTTATAAGCATCAGAAGTATTCCTGGAATTATCCTGAATACAACGAGAATAAGTTCATTATGAAGATTAGCTCCATGTTATGAAGCAATTTAATGTATTAGCCCCAATTCTTAAATTTCTGTTCGTTTCACTTTTGTGTCTAATCACTTTCAAATAAATTGCTGCTGCCACAAATATGTTACTATTACGTATTATTTTAATATAAAAATATAGTAAATATAAATAATGTAGTGAGTATGAATGAAAATGTTTGGCATCACTTAACACTTTATCGGGAACTCTAAAGATATGCTGCTTTTAAAAATGTTGTGAATGTTTGAATTGTGAATCCGATACACTGTATGACCAAGATATATTTTCAGATCAAAACGTGATAACGGATGTGTACATGAGCACGTATAATTATCATTGTACATTGTATGGGAGAAGAGAATTATAAAGAAAGGAGTAATGTTTATAATTAATAACGAGCCATAAAATTTATAAACAAATTAGATTTTATTTACAGACGATTAAACGGAAGTGATTGTTTATTTCAAGCTTTGTGTTATTCCATTGTCTTAATATGGCACTGGAGGAAGGCCCTTTGCTGGCCACACCAGATTTTATTTTATGCATATCAGCAAATTTTTATTCTAACATTCATTATTTGTTTTACTGTGCATGTAACTGCACCTTCACTGTGTAGAAACGCTATCGCTATATCTTATTTCAAGTGTCACTCACATTTATCGTGTGAAATGCTTTATATAATTGCTATACCCAAGTTGCTAAAGAAATGCTACAGTTTATTCACAACGAACAGTTCTCAGCACGTCGTTGACAGGTATTCCAACTACTGGATTTTAAGATGTTTAAGATTACCTTAGGAGCTATGTAAATTTATGGTAAGTAAAGTTAAGCCGTTAAAGTCGAATTCTTTCAACATAGTTTAGATCCTAGATCTTTCCACCATTTATGTTTCATTCCTGGCCTGCAGTTTCGGCTTATCTTTTTTATAATAATATTGCATCCCAATTTAATTTATAATAACGTCAGCAAGTAAATTACAATCACTTTAAAATTTAATTTCAGGATTAACTTTTTTTTTGCGTCTGAGTAGCCTCTTTTACAGTAGCTGAGTAATTAATGACATTTGTACGTTCTAGTACTTAAATGAACTTTATTCTGTAATCATTTTTCAAAAACATCATTTACTATATCGCCTATTTTCAGAACCAATTGTCGTTTAAAAATAGAATTCTGAATGCGCCTTTTTCACAGAACAACTGAATATCTCAGATTAACAATATTGTAAAAAGAGCATTGAAACAAAAACTATTGAAAGCAAAATCTGATAGAGAGAAATAGTATATGTTATCCAATCATTGAAGAAATTAAATACTCGTGAAATGGTTATAAGCAACTTACACCGCAAAAGTTCAGAAACTTTAATCATCTTTATGTACTTTAAATACTGAAGACAAAAAAGACTTACCTGTGGTTTCGTTCCAATCATAAGCTTTTGTTAGAGTTGTTATTAGAAAAAATAATAAAAGAAGCCTACTTTTAAGTTTCATTTCGTTACTTTACAATTTTAGAAGGTAAACTAAAACAGACAGGGCTAAATGCTTTTATAGAGAAGATATTTTGACATCTTTTTGGATAATTAGTTCAATTGCTGCATGTACCAGCTGCTACTTTTGGCTCATTAGTAGAAAACTTCCACCGAAAGTATGTTTTGCTAATAGTTAAACAAACTGTAATTCTTTCGTTCTAATAGAAGTCGCATTGTTTCTCATTTTTAAGGATACCTAGTTTTTACAGGGTTCAAGAATAATGGCGTGTAAATTGCATACACTATTTAACAAGGATGTATTTTAATTTCTTCAGATCAAAAACTAAAGTAGGGAAGATGATAACATATAATTTTCACATAATGCTATATCATTAGAAAATAGAATCGTGTTCATTAAAAATGATGAAGCCAAGCAGTCTGTCTCATTTAATTATTTTTAAATTGCAACTAGAATTTTACTAGCCCTTTGATTCGGAAAAATGTTAGATCAGCCTGTTTTTACAAAACACTTTCTTTTAATATTTTATTTACTTGTAGGGATTTATATTTATTTTAAACAACAAATTTAATTTAATTCGTTATTCTTTCCTGTAAGCCTTCGTTCCCCTAATTGTCAATGCCAAAATATTTAAATTTGGTAGCGCGCGTGAAGGAATGCAAATTCCACTTTGAAGAAAGAGTTTAAAAACCGATTTTCAGTAGGAAAGTTGCTGTTACCTCTATTGCTCAAGCTTCTCCTCCTGGAGTTATTGCGAGTTTTTGTGGCATAACTGCATTTACTTGCTTCCACTAGTTCCGACATGGGTTTAAGAAACAAGAATTACCTCAGCCCTGTAGTTTATTTCTACTATTTGTGCATATCTTCGAATTTTTAGTTTCGTTCTGTGATTTCAGTTACTGCCTAAGGAAGACGTAGTGTGTTAGCGTCGAGTTGACGCATTGTAAATTTTAAAGAGTTAATAAAGGGTACTTTTAACCCTTCTCCTGTGCAGCTAATACTCTTACAGTTCTCGCTAGAGAAGTTAGACAAGTGAACCCTACATACTTATTGGTCAAATTTGTAAATTTTAATCGGAAACATAAATTTATAAATTTGTTATTTATACCATTAACTAGGTTTACAAAATAATTGTCATCAATAATCAAAACTATAACGTTCTATAGTTAGAATCGTAATTCTAAAGCATTTTCCGAGATGGAGTACGTAGAATGGATAAGATAAAACAGTTATATTATTTAATGTCTGATGTTTTGCTGAATTTTTATATGTTTGTCTTTTTACATATAAGTAAAAAACAAAACGTAGGTTAAATTATAAAGCAGATAATGAAGGTGTTTGGAGAAAGGCTATGACATTTCCTGATATTAAAAATCCATAAAGTTGGAATATATGAACTACTGATACTCGGAATTTCTTTCCTCGTAGTCGGATTAAATAAGAACTAAGATCATTTCCTAATATCAGTTTTAATTAAATCCAATGAGTTAGACAATAAGTTTAATTGTTATATACACAGCTGGGATTTTTAGGTCATTAAAGAAGAATATTCTTTCAGCAATTTTTTTTTTTTTTTTTTTTTTTGCTATAAATTTTGTTTGCCAGTTAGTCTCAATAAAGATATTTCATTTCATTTAATACTAATTAATTATTATTATTATTATTATTATTATTATTATTATTATTATTATTACTTTCAGCAACTGAAAGTTTTCATGTTCATATATACAAAATTAGTTATCACCTTTTTTGCTCCATATGCAGTTACCTCTTTCTGCAGCGGATGAATAGTGAGATTTTATTAGATTTATCTTAAGAAATCTGCTATATTATATCTGGTCTAATTTTGACTACACTTATCCACATTTAATTACTTGACTGAACTTAATTTTCTTAGGCAAACCTTCGCATTACGACACCACAAATCAGTTAATATGCAAGCATATACTGAAAATTAATTCCAATACTTCTCCATTAATGTTCAAAATTAGGAAAATTTGCAGAAAGTTTTGGTTTTCTCGAAAACGAAACGTACAAATTCTGCTTCCAACGAATGAAAAGTACATATTATGCTGCTAAAGAAAAAATGAAATTCTTTAGTGTCGGATACGCAAGCGTGTTGGCGAAGCATTTATGGGTAGGATCGTTTTAGAAGCACACCTGATATTTTCCACACTTCGTTTCTCGTTATCCTCCAAGGCGAGCTTCGTGATTTTTTTAAACAATTGGTGAAATTGGTTTAAAATCAGGCAGTTAAAACGAGTAATCACCAAAATTTGGATGATGGAATGAGGTGGTTAATCTTCGGAAGACAGGAAGTAGGGAATCACATTGTTAGAGACTTGAATGTAAGCCCAGCATTTATGCAACACATGGAAGCCATTTAAAGGTATCTGCCCGTATAGAGCAAGCCTAAGAAACGTTGTCCAAAAGCCACAACTACCAATAGACATCGCTGTTTATCTATTTCAGCAAGGCATAGCAGGAATGCAACAGTTTTTTAACTTTCTAGTGACATCCAATAGAAAGCCGAGTTTTAAAGATTACTGTTTCTAGAAAGTTATATAAGAAATAAATAATTTATAAAATTTATAAAATTTGCTGTTTGCATTCCACTTACATATGCTCAAAAGAGAGCCTGTTTAGCATATGTAGAGCTTATTGACTTTGGAAAAGCATTAGTCGCAGACTGTTCTCTTAACAGATGATTTCTGATTCATCCTAATGGCTAATTTTCGACTTATTTTATTGTTCTGAAGAGGACTTATTTTACTTATAATACTTGATTTTATTGTTCTGAAGAGGAATTTAACCTGAAGAGGACCAGGAACATGTTACCTACTCTAGAACATTCGAGAAAGGGGAGAAGCTTGGCAACGGATGTTTGGGAGTCTAAGCATGCATCAAGTTGGACGAGAGCACTGGCCTTCGTGTCTTTGACAGAGGCTCTCTGACTATTGGAAGATACTGAAAAGAGATCCTGCAGCCTTGTACTTGCTTATTCAGGGGTGTAGCTGGCTCTTAATGAATCGGCGTTAGTGCAACAACGTTACCACATATAAAGCTACTATGCTGGAGATTGACAAGTTGGATTGGTCAGAAGATCTTCAGAGATAAGTACTATGGATTTGTTTGGTGCATTAAAACTCATCGTTTTCCTTCCAGAAAGTTCCAGGGCCTGAAAAACGGGTTGCTTCAGGAATAAGACTGAACTGCCACGGGGGTTCGTAAACTGCCTCACATCCAGTATGAAATCAAGTTGTGAAAGCTCGGTGACAGTTAGGAGAAACCATACCGCATATCAGACTCTTTTTCTATTCGATCTTGCAATCTTTGTTTTAGATCATCCTACACAGATCAGCTTTATGCACGACCATGCTTTTGTACCGCGATTTTATTATTTTTATTATTTAATTATATCAACTTAAACCACTATACAATTTCATTAGTTCTCTACATCAGTTCTGAATATAATCGATCAAATATGAAAATTCTTTTAATTTTGACTACTTTTTATAAGAGAACTAATAAAATTTGAGTAATTGCAGAGTAATAATCTTAAATTTCTCACCGTGTGATCCTCTATGATGCAAGATCGGCTATCCAGCAGAATTTTAATTCTAATTATAATATTTATCTCTCGAATTTTGCTGCCAAGGACTAAAGTAATTAAATGGTGAAGTGGGATTACAATAGATTCTGTCCATTGCAGTATATAAGGCAAAAAATAATGGCTGATTATCTGGAAGAAAGGGATATGACCGTTCAATCTATATTCTATTCCTTCATTACTGCCAGATATTCTTATACATCTGAAGAGTGGTGGTGTGCTACGGACAAAGCTGTCTGCTTCTGGTAAAGAAAAGATTAAAGCTACTTTTTGCAAAGAAAGGTATTACTTATTCTACAGCAGTAGCTTACATTAGACTTTGGACAGAATATGATCACCTACCTGTTCATGTATTTTGTTTTAAAGTACTTGATTCTTGGTTTTGTGTTTTATGTACATTCGGAACTGTAATCATATTGCACATAAGTAATGGAGATCTCGAGAACTGTCGATATAATAGACAGGAGTTCAGAATTTGGAAGCAACAAGAAACTTTCACCGGAACTTTCGTTAAATTAAATATTAGTTAAATTGTTTAATCTTATAAACTCGCGAATTTTACCGACTCCGACCTTCATATCATCTTCTGTGTTAACAGGTTTCATTTTAGAGGACTGTAACTGCGTTTCTCCCTTGGCACGCATGTTATAAACGCTTGTTATAAAAGAAACAATGTTCTTTCTCTGCAAGTTTTTTATGATTTTAATAATTCGGATTCTTTGCATATCTACCATGTCGTTTGCTAAATTTAAACTTATAATAAGTTTCATATGTTTAATTTCTTTACTGTACACTCATTTATGTAATCTTGGCATGTATAGTACCTTTGTTTTTATTTATTAATTTATTTCTTTTTATTTGTATCTAGACCCCGGTAGAAAAATAGAGACTGCGCGTTTAGAGGAAAAGCTAGTTTGGATTCGATAAATGTTTTAATCATATAAGAAATTCAATAAAATATTTTAAAGTGTTATTTTTTAAAGCATGTAGTTACATCTTATTTAAATGCATATGGCGTTATCAGTTTATTGGCCTTTTTGTTCTGAGTTCACATGCCTATATTGGTCTCTTGAAAAAGAGTTTAATTTCCATGTAAGTATGAATGAATGCTTAACATTTCTTCTGGAATGAAATTCATGACTTTGCTTAACTAGTGCAAAAATCTCAAATTCGAGTATTCTGAATATTGACACTTTTCCTACACATTGTGCATGTGTATATTTATTATGTAATTATGTATGTAGAATTTAGATATAGAAATAATTTAATCTTTATTAGGAGCAGCAAATATTTACAGAATCTAGTTAACTGATACTGTACAAACTTGGCCATCATTAGTTGTTTGCATGATAAAATCGTAATAAGCACTGATCCGTGAGAACACAGCTGGACCTAAGAGTCTGCCGCATCCTTTTAAGGAATTGATGTAGGAGGCAATTCCGATTTCAACTGGTGGCTGATCTTTTGGGAAGAAAACTAAAGGTCCACCTGAATCACCCTGTAACAAATAATAGAGTACGCTATAATAGGGTACGATATAGAAAGAATAAAAGAATATTTTAAAGAAAATATAATAATAGAGCATAGTAATATAATAATATAGTAACCGAATAATAATGCTATAAAAATGCTTAAAAAATAATGTATCGTGAAAAAAGACAGTCATTCAAAATATTAATACTTCTTAAAAGGAGCAACATTTCACAGCATTTGCATTTCATAACGTGTTTTGAATATTTGAAAATCAACACCATAGTGGGTCCATACCTCCCTTAATAGGCTAAACGTCGAGAAAATTGAACCATTTCAAACTACCATATCTCAAAATATATAAACAGGAAACAAATAATTTTTTTACTGAAGACAAATGAAATATTGTCCTATCTGAAAATGTGACTAAGCGTATAAAATGCGAAAACAAATATATTTAATAATGCTGAAAAGTATATAACATTTTAGGGCATCTGAAAATGTAATATCAGATTATTCTTAAATTACAAGCTTATTCAAAATATTTTCACCTTTAATACATTCGGTATTGTAACATTATTATTTTGAACCTTTAAATTTTTAAATACATGTAAATTTTATATTTCTTAAAAACAGTTGTTTTATATTATTGAAAATAGCAAGTTTATAGTACTTTAAGAACACAGTAAAATAATAAAATATAGATGGAAACTGTAAATTTTAGGTTTAAGTTGTAGCAAATAACGTATAGTACCTTTGATACAACTTTCATAAGAATATATTGAGTCTTTCAATTGTTATGATGTGCGCAATAATGAAAAATCATGTTTTGAGAAAAATGACTTTTAAGTTTTTTTCACCACATATTACCTAATATAAAATGAAAACCTTATCACATGATATTATTTTCTTCATTTATTTTACATCTGATGTAAATTTTAACCATTTTCACAACATTTCACTCTAATACGACTGTATATCGTGATGTGAAATTACAACAAATATTACAAATGCACAAAATATATTACTACAGACATTTCAAATGATAGTAATACATACACTATTAGCATTAAAATGCTCCTGAAAGGTATGTTACTCCTTCAGTTTTATATATATATTTTTTTAATTTCATGCATTTTCGCATGACGCTTAGCCCGACGCATCAAACGTACAAGCTACTGCTACTTTTTTCGAAGAAGTTACACCTCTATAGTCACTCCTGAATTGTGCGGTAATACATTTAATTCCAGGGTGTATATTCAGATATCTTAGAGTAGATAATATACCATTTCTACCATAATTAAAAAGAGTAACTGCTTCATGTACAGCTATTTTCGAAATTATTCGAACACTACCAGATTCTTTGGACATATTTGCCAAACCATAGAGTTCAGTGACTCATTTGAATTTTGATTATGAGCTGCAAGACAGCATTTTATGAGGTCTGGATGCGACAATGAGTTAAAAATTGGTTTGATCACATCTATGACTGCCAGTGGTAAGGTTTCTTTATGGTGGAAATCTTTCACAACACCTTTTGCAGAAGCAATTTGGTGTTTGCACCATGAGGATTCACCAGCTGGACCAAAGTTATGCAGTGGTTCACTGTATGTAGATCGAGTATGAACGTATAAAGCCCAGATAGCATTTCGCATATCATTTAGAAAATCTGCATGCTGGCGAATTGCATTTCCGTAATACAATGACAGTCGACTGATCGCAATGACAGTCCAGATAGACTTTTGCTATCTGAAAGCTTTCGTCCCTTATCAGCTTGCAATTTACGTACCCTCTTTTGGTTGTGCCCTACACACTCTAGTTTTGATATAATCACAACTTTGTATGGTTTGCTTTCTGTTACGGAAAGAAATGTTTTCGAGTCCCCATTACCAATGTAATTGACGTATCTCACACCCCTTGCACTCTGACATCTCTGAAAATTTTAATCATTCCGTCAGCTTCCATTTTGTCAGATGATCCGAAATGATTCCTCAGGCAAGTGCGAGAATGAGTTTTCTGCTACTCATCAAAGGCTTTACCAGATCGAGGACCCTTCCACAATTCACACCCTTTACATACTATGGATAAAAACCTCTATGTCGATCACTTTTCCACTCTCAACACCAATAACTGTAAACACACCTATCTGAGATGTATAGCCTCTAATTTTCCAAGTGCCATCACCACTTACACTTATGTCAGTAGAATTACTGGCTGACACTTCTCCTGCTGTTGCATTTTCTATGCTTTCAGTCATTTTTGTTGCATTATGAATAAACTTACAGATTCTGTCATACGTTTTTTTGCATTACTTTTTTCTTCCAAAAATGAACACAGAATATTCTTATTGACAATCATATTGCCATCAAATCGATCTCTTTCACTTGAAAAATCAATGTCTGTTACATTTAATTTTTTACTTGAAGCACTTGTATTTAGTTCTGAATTTCCAGGGAAATTATTACAGCCACAGTTTCACTAATTGCAACATCGTTTGGAAAAGAAATTGCAAATCCATTATTTAATTCATTTGAAACTGTCGATTTACCAGTTGTAATGAACTGGTTTACATGAAATCGGCGCTTTCTTGAACGCTTTCCAGAAGCACGTTTAGAAGCATTATAAGCTATTTTACCGACGAGTGTACAGTAAGATAATAAAATGCAGTAAAATTTTCCAACTATATTTAAAATCACTCACAAGCTATACTAAAATGACAATTGAATGATCATAAGTGATGAAAATAACAAGTGAAGTGATATAAATTACTATCAAAATATAATCAGACAGAAGCAAAATAGAACTTTAAAACGCAAGAACGATTAAGAATGTAAACAAACTTCCAAAGCGTTGATAGATAACACTGCTACTTCATAAAGAGATCATTAAAAAATTAATCATTAGGCTTACCACATAGCGAGTAGAAATTGCTGACGCTTCTTGGTCGGACCTTTAAACATTGTTTACATTAGTCAGCTGATACATTTCCCTTCATAACTCATAAAAATAGTGCGAATTTTCGCTCCAGTTTTTTTTTTTTTTTTTTTTTTTTAATCTGCGCAAAAAAAGCCAGGCTATAAAATATATTTTTTTCAAAAAATCGAAAACTTTGATGGTTTAAGGGAGGTATGACCTATGAATTCTTAAACATTTCTTAAAAATCATGAAATGATATTTTAAATATTGCTCAGCGAAAATTCAAACATTATCTAATATTTTCCAGATGGAATTTTTACGCTATCATATACATTGATAGGCATTGTTTGAATTATGGTTAATGCTTTTTGAGAATTTTGTATCAAGCAAAATGAGAATTCGAGCAAAGTTTTTGTTTCAAAATGATATTTTTACAGAGAACAAAAATTAAACATACCTTTAAAAGAATTATCGCTTCTAATGGTAATCTTTTACAGAGGGTGTTCGCACATTTTTAGAAACGATTTCGATAAAGAATAAAAAAAAGGGAAATGTTTCAAATAAAAATTTCTCGTAACAGCTTGTTTTGAATTTCTTCTTTCTTCAAAATTTCATATGTAACAAAACACGCAGCATTATTAATTGGAAAAGGGAACATCGTCAATCGTTACATCTACATGGAAAGAAGACTCGAAATGAAAACTGGAGAAAGATGCGCACTGTTTCGAAAATTAAATCGTTGGCAAGGAAAAGAAGTCCGAAAACGCAGGAATTAATTGTAGAGTACTTAAGTACATCTATAGCAACAATAAATAAAATAATAAACCAAGATTTGCAGCTTAAAAATGCTATAAAATATAATATTCACCAACCAACTTACATCTGGCTCAACGCAGAACAAGTTGTTGAACCCTCTACGAAAGCTATTTAACAGGAGATAAATGGAAACACATTTTGACCTTTGACGAAGTATGGTTTTATATGAATGACTGCAGTAAAAAAGCTCCATTTATTAATGAAAACGAAGACAAAACATCTACAAACCTGATTTGATCAATACAAAGAAAGTTCCAGTAAGAGGTTTATGATTGTCGCAGGAATCTCTTGCAGTCGGAAATTAAAAATAAGAAGAATTTAAAAAATATTCAAATCAACTCAACATACTATCAAGAGAAAGTTTTACGTCTGATAATTACAGGCGAAATTTCATTTCTTTATTCCAATGAATTTTAATGAGCGTAACTTAGAGAGAAGTCATACTTCGAAAAGTACCACTGCATTCCTTGAAAAAATGAAGACTGATAGAAGTATTGCATATATATATATATATATATATATATATTATATGTAATTTTCCAATGGATTTCTGTGAAGTCCCTAACGATCCATCTATGTACTATATGCGGCCTTTAGTCTCTTGAGAAGAACTTTTTCTAAACGCTACGTACGAAAACGTTACGTACGTATTTTCTTAGATAGGCTCTTTCTTTGATGGTAGAAACGAACAGAAAAACAGAAATAAAAGAGAAAAAATAAAACTCTTCGAGCAGTACATTTGGTATTAAATATGTACAAATATGTGTTAACTAAAAAGGAAACTATCACATTTATCAAAGCTAAATTTCATAAAATTTATTCTAAGAATTTTTTGATCAATTGTTAAAGTATTCAAATTAGTGCATAAAAATACGCTTAACAAAATTCTTATATCACTGATTTTCATATTATTTATATTTCACAAAACCATTGTAATCAGTAACAATATATTAAACAGTTTGCAGGAAATAGAGCCAATTATACTTATAGCAAAATAATGATAAATAAAACATACACTCTAATCAATTTAGAAATTTAGAAAGAAAAGGAAAATTCGCGGAAAAAATATAATTTAGGAACCGTCATTTCTGTTTAAATTCGTCATTTGTCGGTCTATAGGATTTGTAACTAAATTGATTTTAATCAACATTTTGCTTTATTATGCCTAAAATTAAATTATTTAAATTTTCAGTTATTTAATTAAACTAAAATTTAATAATAAAAAGGGTTTCTGCCATTAAGTGTATGATAGCAATTAGATAGTACGATTTTCAAACAGCATTATTGTTTTTTAGTTAAATTTTAAAATATTTTTCCTTATAACTATAACTTACTGCTTAGATCTGACACTCAAGTAAAAACTTAATGCAGTTATTTAGACTGAAATACTTACGCCACAAATACCCTTAAGTAATCCTGTAGCACACAGTCCCGTGTCTGCTATCTGCATTCGGTAGGTTAAAGAGCAGAGAGAATTGGGGACTACCTTCTGGGAAGAATACTGTAAGATCTCAGGAAGTTTTTGGCGGTCTAAAAAAAAATTAATTAATGGCTTAGTATATTTATTATAGCTGGCAACATTAGCAACTAATATAAAGTTTGGTAAGGAATATTACTAGAAAAATTAATAATACCAACACGAGATGATGCACTTGATTTGTAATTTCTGGAATTTGCATAATAGAAGCTACCAAAATACGAATGTTTAGATTTGCTAAAGAAATCTCTCACTAAATGCTCTGATATAATCATAGCAAACAGAAAACATGAATATAAATAAAATAGTGATTGTTCTTCTTATAGGTTTGGAGCTCTTTTGATCTACCTGATTATTTTGAAATATCTTCTCTCGGGTTCAGACATTAGTCCTGATAACTAGTAACCATTCAAAGGGGATTAAGTAACGGACTATGAGATATCTTTTATCACATAGAGAAGCATTGTCCTTTATTTAGCAGAACAAGAGCTTACGAGGACATGCTAATAAGAGTCCGAATTCGTTGACAAAGGAATTGTGACCTTTATTCGCATCAAGTGGTGAACATTGAAATATTTTCACATTACAATGAGAGAGAAAAATCCGCATTGAGGAAGGATATTTTGCAGCTTAACAATGCTCAGAATTTTAGTATGTAACCAAAAAGAGGCTATTCATCACCCACTAGTTACATCTGGTACCAGTGTAGAATCATTTAAATATTAAATCACTTTTGGAACAGTTAAGGTGAGAAAATCAATTGTACCTTCGCTGGGATTGGAACTCCAGAGGTTTTCCTTGCTAGCCGGAAGTGCTAGTAGGAAGGCACACAGGGTAAGTAAGGAGAAAAACCTTGGTCGTTAGAAAATGGCCGTTCTACATATGGTCTTAGACTGGTGCCGCATATCTCAGAAGAAAAAGATAAAGATTGTATTTTTTACTTTTTTAAAATTTAAATGATTGCTTATTTATTTAATTCAAACTTTGCTAATAACATTGCTAGTTGAGGAAGGGAGTCCTATTTTAGGCACATGAATCAAATTCTTAAAATGGTCTTTGAAGAATACACGGCGGACTTTTATTTTGCCAGGCATTTTCTGTTTTCTCCTTATGGAAAACAGCAGACTGCAATTGTTTTCCTTCCTTATGAATAATGCTGCTTATTGTGTTCTTAAATATGTCAATTCTAAAGTTTTTTCACCGTAATATATATCCTTTAGTATAAAACCTGTTTCTGATTTCAGTTATGTGCTTAATCGAAATCGCTTAAAAACCTTTGTATTTAGTAAATTAATTATCTATATGTCTTACTAATTAATAACTTTAAAACTTTATTGTACTCATTTAACTACAGTATGCTACTTTTCTTCTTCCGCTGATAAATCGGAAATGAAATTTCATTAATAATATATATAAAAATCTTCCTTTTAATACTGAAAACTTCCTATAAGAAGTATCATATTAGTTTTGTATTTAGAGTTAAATAATTTTATTCCGTCGTGAATACTCCATTTCAAACCGCTCGGTATATTATAAAAGTACATACCTCTTGATCGACTTGTGCTACCCCATCCCATAGCAAGTGCTTTTTTCTTTTCAAAAGATCCTGAATCTGGTCCTGCAATGCAGATAGGCATTATATTGTCGTCAAATGGAATAACTCCTTCAGTTTTCAAAACAGCAACATCATTTTCCAGTCCTGTATACATGGGATGAGGAATAACTCTTCTGAAATTAATACGAACGTCTGGAGAACTTCTATTTACATTTCCTACGATCCCATAAAAATATTGCGGAGCTTGTAATTGGCCTTCACTGAAAGCAATGTGCCATAGATATTAGAAAATACAAAGCGAAAGAGGAAAGATAAAAGATTAAAAGGAAGTATATTTATTTTCGTACCAAAATTTTATGTCCTGATAATGTTTTAAAATTTATGCCAACTAAAGCTACAAAAGGCGAAAAAAATGAAGGCTTAATTTTCTTCAACACATCAAAATTAATAATAAAGACTTTGATGTCATCTGATTACTCAGGGAAAAGAGGTTTTAAAATTTTAAATAAGGAAAACAAAAGAAAAGGCTAAGTAATCTAAAACTAGCTAAAGTGAACATGGAAATTTTTTTAATTTTAAAGATAAATAACTATGAGATAAAGATAGCTACATCATTTTGCAATAAAGGTTGCTTGAATCATCCATTGATCATCCCGTTTATATTTGTGCATAATTCGAAACACATAATTGTGGTCATACGTTAGTATAACCCTGTAAGTCTTTGGAAACAGTCAAAAGTACATGGCTATAAATCTGACTGTAATGCAGTTGACAGTTGCAAAAGATTGCGTGCCGGGTATCCATAGAGAGAGCAAAAAGATAGGAACAGTGCCATAGATTCTCGAGTGAACTTTAGGCTGAGGAATTTGATGCTAAGAAAATACGGCTAAGTACTCCTTGTTCTCTTTCAACTAATAATGCACCTTTCTAGCTATGTGTCAAGTCTAATGGAAGTGCTGAAAAATGTTATCCTTTCCCGGGGGGGAAATTACTGCACGTATGGATGGAAGTGGTCTGAAAAGACTGATGCATACTTAATACCTCCCACGATGATAAATAGGATTAGAGGAAACGTTCGTTATATTATCTCTACCAGCTTGCATCGTAACGTTACTCCACCAGCTTGCATTCGCCTGCAAATGGTTCAAGGGTGTTTTTTCTCAGATGGTTCTCGTCTTGAAGCATAGGCCCGCTGAGTACTGTTTGCGAGTGGTTGTAGTAGGGTACCCGACACCCTAATTTGTCCAGGGGTCCATGATGTTATTAAGGCGGCATTGTCTAACACCATCCGACAAAAGCAAAAGTCGGGATCCATTGTGGAAGGCAAAGTTTTGCCAGTTAGTGGAAGTTCACTATTGGTACTACCGGTGCAAATTTCAGCCTCTTCCGCTGAGAAACAGTCTTTAGCATAAATAGTAGCACGAAAACAGTTCCCAAACCGTGCAGTTTCTGAAATGCTGACAACACGTAGCCCTGTAAAAAAGCAAGTGCATTTTTTTAAGTCGAATAAACCGCTTCGTTTATTCAGGAGATATTAGTATCATTCAGGTAACAAGAGCCGTTTATTCAGGTAACAAGAGCCCAGATGCTTACAACATCCGACAAATATGACACAATAAGTGGTAACATCAATGAGTCTCTGTAGCAATATAATGTTTCAGTTATTTGCATGATGACTATAAATAGTTAATAAAGTTTTTAACTAAGATAAGGAATAAAATGCAAACTGCATTTCGATTTTCTTTCTATGTATCAAATACTAATTTACTTTTTGTTAAATACATACAAAGTGTTCAAAAAACGCGGCTTTGGGCTTTATTTAAAAACATATTGTTACGAATTTTGCACATTTAGTTAGATATTTTTAGTTGAATTATAATTAAAATTGTTTTATTTCCCCGTGCAATGCAGCGCGTGACAAATTTTAAGAGAAAGCTACGCCGGAAAAGTAAAAATACAAGAGCACGTGAATTTAACATTGAATAAAAGTTTATCTCAGTAATTTCGGTTTAATTTGAATAAATGTAATTGACTACTATGTTATCTGTAATTGTAATTATACTCGTTTCGGGACGACCAGCGGCCGAGCGGCAAAGTCGCTGAACACTGTTGTTTTGATGTTTTGTGTAGTTCTATCCGAGGTTCAAATCCCGCGAACGGGCTGGCTGCATGGGTGTTTTCGTGGTTTTCCCCATGTGTAACGTGTATACGAGCCAGTTTCCCTTAGAAAGTCCTCCACGAAGGCATCCCTCCTCTTAGGCAGATAGCCCTCGAGGCTTTGCCGTAATTAAATAACCTAATCTACTCGTTTCGCTTTCCAGAAATTGCTAGAACTATTTCGCTAAGCCAAAGCTATAAAAAGCCAGAGAGAGAACATCTCAGCTCAGTTGTTTAGTGAGTTGTTGTTTACTTGGCTGCTGTAGTTTTGTTGATCGCATTAGCTTTGTCTGCGCTTTGCGTTGCGTTCTGCTTAACGTTTTAGTAGTATAAAATATAACTACTGCGTGATATTGTGATATTGTACAATTATCTTCGAGGAAAACTCCAGCGTTTTATTGTATTTCTTGTGATAAGAATAAATTGTATTAACTTTTTATCGGACTTGTGCATTCAGTCTATTACGAACACATACGTACGCAACAATATTTAGTCTACGTATACATTATTTCGTTATGCAAGTTCGTAAGGCTAAGAGGTGCAGAATTTTACGAGAAACTCTCTACGTGAGAATACGTTTGTGAGTTAAATCTAAATTTTGGTTTCATAAAGGAAGAACTGCAAATAATAACATATTAAATACGTTTTTGTTAGATAATAAAAAATAATGATAATGTTGTTTTACTCAAGATAGAACCTTTATTTGTTTAAAGGGGTCCTTTTTGTTTCGTAAGTTATCCTCAAATGTATTTTTAAAAGACTTGAGTTTAAGTAAACAACTGGTAAAGACGAACATTGATAAAGTAATTAAGACCCAAACAATTATATATATACTTGAATTTTACTTTTGTCTTCCGAATTTTCATTCTTACACAATTAAAGAGCTGGGAAATGCCGCTATGGAAAAATCCTTAGAAATAACACTCATACCTTGTGGAAAAAACTCGATCGTGATAGAAAGGATACAGATTATAGAATCAGTTTTCAGTTCATAGGACATGGCTGCGTATTAAAATGATTTCATAGGAGTTAAGATTCATAGAATTCATAGGAGTGTTATCTCAAGGGTAACTTTATTTAACTTTTTAACAGTTTAGTAACAGTTTGGGTAATAGAATATGCTTCAAATATTCTGAAATGCTCCCCCCAAAATACGCTAAAATTAAAAGATCCTTCAAAAGAAAAATACTCAGAAAGTAAAAAAAAGCATGTATCGTCAAAATCCGAGCCTTACTCATAACCTATTGTTTCATGTGGACTTTATATTTTGCTTCATACCATGCATTTCACCGAAAATGTTCGGTACACTATTGGTTTAAATGTCATGCATATGCTTCACTTGAATGATACTAAAGTACCTAAATATAGTTTATCATAGCAGTGTATTCTAGCAGTAATATAATAATATTCATAACGAAATTTTATACTTACAGAATTACACAATGTGCAGCTGTCAAGATAGTTGTGGGAGAAATTATAGAGGCTGTACATATAAACTGCTTATTATAATACAATGCAACCTATGATAAAAAACAAATTTTTAAATATAAGTATTTAAGAAATGTATGATATAAATATAAAATCAATGATAGTGTAAAATTCAATTATAAAATAAAACGTAAAGAGCTGGGTCACTAATTATTTCAGCAAGATTGTGCTGAAAAGAAAATCTACACATTTTAATAAATATACATGAAACAAAAAATTGCGAAGGTAATTCAAAAATTAAGGTGACAAGCTCTCTCAGAGAACACTTCATTCTATTAGCAGATATGCGAATATATCATCCATAAGGAATTTGTACACATTATATTTCGACGTACTTGCACGCTATAATCCCTACCACTTTGAAACAGCGTTCAATAGTATTGTCAGTCAGCCCCCCATTTGCGATCATCATAACTCGTTATCATTGTGCATTGAAGAGACTGGGAATCAGATCGGATGACTGAAATAAACTTGAAGTTCGAATTGTAAAGTAATAACCATTTTTACCTCCTTGCACGAAGTAAAGGAAATATTGCAATCGTGAAAATTTCGGGCATCATATTTCAACAAAAATATCCATTTTGACCACTAGTGAATGCAATTTAACGATGTTTTTGGGTGATATCTGTCGAAAGGACAGAAAAAAACACTCGTTTTCCCAAAACGGGTTGCAAAAAAGATTTAAAATGGATTCAGAAGAGATTTTTTCGTGACGTATGTACTTACGTATGTATGTATGTATCTCACATAACTCAAAAACGAGTAGTCTCAGAACGCTAACATTTTGTACATAGGACTGCTATAACATGTAATTGTGCACCTCCCTTTTTAGTTGCAACCTACCGCAACAATATATATATGTATGCACTTTGTTGGAAAATGGTGTTACTCGGCTCTGTGAGCTCAGTGTTTTATTCTTATATGTTGGCAAATTGAGCATTTTTTCCGTTAAAAATGATAGAATTGTGTTATTTTTATCTAAGGTTATCGGCTAAAGTTATTACGCCAATATTTTAACTATAGCATTTATTCTGCTGTGGTTTATGCGCCAGGGACGAAGTATATTTCATTCAATTCAAAAATTTAAATGAAATGCAGGAAAAATAATGTGTTAATTTAATATTCCGTACAAGGAAGTCATGTGGTGTACATATCAGATTTTTTATCATAACAGTCATATTTGTTTACATTTGAAACTTGGCAGAATAGTGAATTAAATCAGCTTCTGTTCTTTCAATGTCTTTGTGCCGTGTGGTACCAAAAGTAAAATTTCAGTTTTGTGCACCAAAAAATCTACTTTCTTAGCCTTTTGCCCGAATTGCATGTTTTTGCGTGGAATTTTAATTGTAAAATTTTTTAAATTGTTTTAACTGTATTCGGTGTTTTATATTTTTCTATATTTTTTAATTTTTAATAAAGATATTTTGAGGTTTTATGTGTTTTTGCCTAGTCGCGAAGTGAGAACTGAATTAATTGAATAAGAAATATGTCTATAATGAAATTCGAGGAAATGAGTTTAAATGAAATGCAGGAAAAAATGCGTTATAATTTAATATTAAGCTTGAGAAAGTCATGTGGTGTAGACTTTAAAAAAAAAAAAACTGTGCATCTAAGAATCGATGCTGGCATAGAAGAAATCACCTGAAACCGCTGAAATCACGTTATGATGCTTATACTGGTTGTGAATCGCTTCCCATTTAAATACTTCTTCAATGGTCTAACCTTGAAAGGTTAAAAACACATGAAAACTAGTGAATGTCAAATTCGAGGCTATAGACAGGATTATTCGGTTGCTCTTGAATTGAATGAAATATACTTCGTCGCTGGCGCATAGTGGAAGTGCAGTAGTAATTTTGATAAATGAGAAATGAAATTCTTGAAGTCTAGTTTGTAAACATTTGATCGTAGTTTCCACTGAAACATTGGAGAACAAGTTTACATCGAAAGAAACTATGATGAAATTTCTGAGATAAATATTTTTAATTTATTTATGAAGTCTACTGAGTTATTAATGCTGTGAGTGTTTTAACTAGGAATGCCGAAAATCTACAATCTAAGTATTTAGCTAATCGGTTAAGATTCAGTAGCTAAATTCGTTACAGAGGATAGAATTGGGATACTACTTTATGAATTTTGGGAAGAGCATATAGTCTGAGCGTATAACATATAGTTGCACAATTCGCAACAAATGGAACAAGCAAATTTTTAAAATGAGTCGGAAGGTTTGAAGTATTAATCGCGGATCTTATTTTTTAAAAGGTCCGAAGATGAAGGATCTCTAGGGATCAAATTATATGGACCTTCGTTTAGGAGTTCAGTATACTGGATTTGAAAGCTTTTTAAAATGAATCGAAGGTTTGTGAGAATTTAAAATTATAATTATATTTGAGAATACTCTTTCGATCCTCAGTACTGGAAATTCTTAAATATTAAGGCTAATTACTGTTATTTGATATTCTAATAAATATAACCTTCTCTAGGATAACCATTCATAGTTCAACGTAATACTGCTCTTCTGTGGAAGGGGTTGCCTTAGAGATATGATATTGTGTACAATGTTTGGATGCTTGTGAGAAATTAAAATTATAATTATATTAGAAAACAATCTTTCGTTTCTCTGTACTGCAAATTCTTAAAAATTAAGGCTAATTACTGTTATTTGATATTCTAATAAATGTAACATCTAGGATAACCAGTCATAGTTCAACGTAATAATGCTCTTCTGTGGAAGTGGTTGTCTTAGAGAGGTGATATTCTAAACATTGTTTATCATGCTATCAGAAATATAGATCACTTTTAGAAATGGTAGCCACAAGATGTTTCACTGCCTTTGAAAACATTCGCATATAAATTTATATAAGATAATGATGATATATAAATGGTTTCTTTTAATGGCTGGGCGCCTTATTTAATAGCCATTAACCTTGCCCCACTTCAAGAGCCGGAAGTAGTGGTCATTTCATTCTGGAAGCACCCAATAGGTAGCCACCGTTGCCTCCTATGAAGGGAAGGACAGTTACAACTATGCCTTTTCTAAAATTCGAACCCGGGCCCATCACTACGGCAGTCAGAGTCATTAGCCACTGACCAGCTAGGCGGCTAATAATTTCATTAGTTTGTAGAGACCACGCCCCCAGCGTGTAGACCACCACAACACGAACGCATGCTAAGAAGGTGGGAGAAATACCTTTCCCAGTCGCCCTTTAAAAGGCATACTCCCCCTTTTAAAGGGCGACTGGGGTTTTTAGGGGACCCAATCGCCAAATCCTGGGTGTGGAGAATCATCATCCACCACCCTTTTAGTTCCGCCGCCACTGTAGAGCCATTAGGTACTTTGTGAAGCAGGCAAGATGAATAATGAGCAACGCCTTCGCCGGGAATCGAACAGCGGAGCTCTGGAATACGCGCCCAGCGTGTACAGACCACCACACCACGAAGGCATGCTAGGATGGGGGAAGAAATACCTTATACGTTATTAGGAAAATAATAATTTACAACAAAATCATTGGAGAAACAGATATGGATAAAATGCCGTATTTAAAATAATAAATCATTGAACTTAGTATTGATTTAAAAAATGCCAATAATTTCCAAAGTGTTTTACAAATTGAATACAAAAGTATTTTGCATTACATAATTTTGCATCAAATCCTTTACAAAATGAAATTAATTTTTAGATGCATTCGGAAATAAACTGAATATTATTCAAGTTAAAGAATCTATCGTTATACGTAAATTATATTTTAATGTGCTAATTTAATCACAAGAAATTAAAATTTATACGTAATATTAAGAATATTATATATTCCGCTCACTATTAGAAATGAAATCAATTTTCTATGTCTACCTTGATGGTCTTCACAGGACAGTTTTTTATGCAAAATGATGCAAAATATCTCTTAACAACTCAAAAAACTGCGTAAATTAGCTAAATATTTTTTTTTAATTTAAAGGTACTAATGTTATAAATGTACGTGCATATAAACTATTTTAGTTTCAAAAAGTAGATATTTTGGATTTTAGCTTACCATCCATGGAAATCTTCCATTTTCAGCCCTTTTTCCTCCGACTATTCTTTCAGTTTCATCCGTTGTAGATCCCTCTGCAGAGAAAGGTTATACGAATAAATGACATTCAGTTTCTTTAAGTATTATTTAATTTAAAAAAGAAGTAGAAATCGAGATTTAAAAACTAATTTATGTAATTTAAGAGGTAAAAAACATAAAATATACCCTACCAGCATACTATCTTTAAAACTAAAGGAAATGTTTATAAATTTATAAATTATTCATTTGGTTAATATCAACTATCAACAGTTTTCTATGTTTTCTTTCTACGTTTCCTATAAATTAATTAGTTTCCTATCTGACAATGATCACTAGAACCATTAGCTAAATAGGAACCAATAACCACACTTACTTAGAGTCCGTAACTATTAAAAGACATCGTATGTAAGTGAATTTATCTTAAGCCTTTCTAAATACTTTATATTATAATTTTAAATATTTTATATATATTTTTACTTTTGAATTTTATACTTAGTCAATATTCTGCGCAAAACGGGGAAGCCAGTGTTCTCTCTAACGATAGACTGATTGAATTCATTCGTTTAATATAGCATGCAGTAATCAGTATTTAAACACTTTTTTCAGATACTATTTCTGCGAGACGCATAATTAAAATAACAGCTGGGCAGAGACAAATACAAAAACAATGTAAAAAGGATTTGGTTTTGAAGGAAAACATTATTAGGAGACTGAGTACATAGTTTGAAAGTAAATCTAAGTATATTCATGTGCATAATTTAAGGATAATGCCAGCTCCGGAAAATAAAGACGCAGAAACAAAACTCAGAGGGCCTAGGCGTTGTCCGGACTGTATTTCATCGTCTGGGAGACATATTATGTATTAACCATCATACCTATTATGTAATGCTAACTTTTTGTAAGGAAGATATTTTTTGTAATTGCTCCCTACAAAAAATACCTCCCTTACAAAACTTAACATTGTATAGTGGGTGTGATGGTTAATACATAGCATGTCTCCCAGACAATGAAATACAGTCCGGACATCACCTAGGCATGCTGAGTATCATATTATCGAGTCGATCTTTGGAAAGATTACTCCACTCAGCCACCAATGCTCTCTGAAGTTCCAGTACACATGTAGGAGGTGCTTAACGGGCTGAAATTCGTCGGCCAAGTTTGACCCGCACATTCGCTGCCGGATTCAAGTCAGGTGAGAATGTTATCCATTCCATACAGGAATATCCTCAGACTGAAGGCATTCCTTGACAATGTTTGCACGATGAGGACGGTCGTTGTGATCCATAAACACAAATTCTGCATCCAAGGCACCCCTAAACAAACGTACATGTTGATCCAGAGTGATGTCCCGATAAATTTGGCTTGTCATGGTTTCGATCTGAACATGCAGATCTGCTCTGGAATACAGTATAATTTTATCCCAAACGAGCAGCCCTGCACCACCGTAACTGTGTCCTTCAATGATGTGGTCTTGGTGATAGCAGGTGCCTGGAGTTCTCCATATGAAATTCCAACGTGAATCAGACTGTAGGCTAAATCTGGGCTCGTCGGAAAACATCACACAAGCCCACTGTGACGAGGTTACAAATTGCATGCATTCTACTCCATGCTAACCGCTGGTGACAATAAGTTACGGTGATTGGAACACATCGGCGGCCTACGAGCATGTAGACCAATCTGTCCCAAACGTCTGTACACGGTTGGTCATGAAACTGTCGTACCCGTGGCTGAAGATAGCTGACGAGACAGGTCTGATGCTGTGCTCCATCTGCTTCTTTTGACAGTTACTTCCAAATACCGGTCGTCATTCGGCGTTGTAACTCGGGACCACCTGTAGTGTAACGTCTACTGATATTTTCATCATTTTGAAATTTTGCCAAAGCCTGAGATTGCGCTTTGAGCTATTCCAAGTTCCTCGGATACATCCGTTCAGAGTACGCTCACATTCCAAACAACCGATAAATCTACTACGTAAAAAAATAATCGAAATGCATCCTCAGTGTCACAACTACTCAGTTGTGGCTCTGAATGGCTTACAGAACGCTTCTGAACAATTTTACTTCTTTGCTACCATTTCTCATTTACACTTCTCTTACACTCTTATCATTGTGATGTACTATTGGCGTCATCTGATGGCTTCCTGCAATTTGCATATTATTTTTTAAGATTTGTGAGATAATTCTACAGGTTAACTTTTTAGTTTAGAGTTCCATCTGATTCTGAATTATCCATAATTTATGGACATGAGTGTAATTAGAAAACTATGGGTTGCTACGAAAATCGCTGTGTGGTTTTTTTTTTTTTTTTTTTTTTTTTTTTTTAAAGGGAACGGTAAGTATTTATATTTTCCAAAAGGAGCAGTAGGACGAAAAACATTGGGAGCGTATGAAGTAGTCATTTTGAGACAATGAAAGATAATCAGCTCTAGTTACATACCATTGCGCAAAATATTAAAGCTTTCGGGATGTTACCGTTGGTTTGAAGAAAAAATATTAATTAATCCAAAAGTACAAAATATAGAAAATATTTCTTACTAGCGCACACAAATCATTATGCAAATATGTTTTTATGGCTTTTAAAGCTTGAAAAACACATGTCTGCGATATTATCATCATGCAGTGATTTGTGGGTGCTTTTTTTTTTACGACGATGCTTAAACACTGGAATGCTTTTGAACCTCTTTATTTTTGACGACGATGTTTTATACCACGAAGTTTTAGAAGTGCGATATTTTCTTTTTGCTTTCTTTTCTCCCACGATGTTTTGCGCCACATTTGTTTGCATTGCTTTTTCTGCGATGCTTTCGCCTGCAATGTTTTTGCTGCGATATTTTCGGCGGACACCGGCCAATGTTATAACAACCTGCCATTGCTGTATATACTATACTTCCTTTAAATCACAAGCTACATTGGAATAGTTAAAAATCCCATTTATCCCTACAATGACAGTATTATGCCTTATTGACTCTTTGTGTTTCGTACAATGTTCATTTATTAAGTTCCCTTTGTAGTGTGCCAAATGATTAACGCAACGATGAAGTTTTGCGTTTATCACACGATTTTTTAGTGGAAGTCCAGCTTATACCACTGTTTCAAGGTGCATTTCTTTAATCGTTGAAAGTTGATGAAAGTGCATAAATTTTTCACTATTGTGCGTGTTTTAAATTTCATCATCCATTTATAATTGGGGCCTTTATTAGATAATTGTTCTTTCAATATATGATAGCCCAATACTGAAGAAGATACAGGTTGAAAAATTTCTTTTGTCAAATTAGAAAAGAGGAATGTGGATTCCATATGTAAATGGCCTTCTTCCATCATACGTGGGTTTTAAATTAATTTGTCGATTATAACTTTTCAAAGTATTACCTGTTTAGTACTAACTTAATACAATTTGAATAAACTCACCAATAAAAATTTTAATAGATTGATTATGTCAATCAGAAAAGAATTCTGCATAAGCAATATAATTACGTATACCTATTAGTTTGTAACAATAAAACATATAAATAAAATTCCAAGCAACCAAAAGGTTTTTTTACTAAATACGATCTTACACCGTTGAACTACAGTTTCAGAAAAAATTCCTTTAATCCCTAAAATTTTATTTTAGCAATAATTATTGTCGATTCTGACTTCTAACTTAAAAGTCAATTCTGACTTCTTAATGTATGCCCGTCTTTCCCATGGAAACAAACCTTGAACAAAAGTTGAGAAGTTTAAGGAAAGAAAAGTCCCCAACCACATACGAAACATTTTTTCTTCAGGAAGCGTAATCAATTTATATAACCGCGTAAATTTTTCGCTCCACAAAGTACTTGAAATGATCAGCCTTATCAACGTTTCAAAGGAAATTGCCATATATTTCTAACATTACATAATGTGCATAAGCATAGCAATAAAAAATTTCATGGATTGATTGCATAAATCTGTAAAGACTTTTACATAAGCAGTATACTTACATATAAATATATACGTATTAGTTCATAATAAAACATATAAAGAAAACTCTTAGAAACTTTAATACAATTTAATACCTTGCATTATGAAAGCAATAAACTTAATAAACTTTATTCAACTTACCTCTTTCCAGGAGAACCTGTATGTAAGAAAATGAAGAAGAATTAATTTTATTTTATTTTTTACTGAAAGAAACTAATTTTCACTGCTTAAAATGCACTTTTATGTTAAAAATGTTATTTTACTGAAGCATAAAAATTTTCATGATATCATATTGGTAATATAGTTATGCGCAAAATTAAAGAATAACTTTGCAAATTATAAATACACAATTACATGTTAAGAATTTTATAAAAGTAAGTCTGTACACTAAATTAAAGTTTGAAACTGAATATGTGTACCTACCCTTCTTTTTGCTGAAACAGTAAATTATGTTTAAGTTCTTGCAAAAATAGCGCTCTTTCATAATATGCAGAAATAATCGAAATGCTGTGCTTTATGTAGTTCGTCCTCAAATACTTTTTGCTTTCTTTTGGTAAGCTGGTAAACAACTAGCAGTAGCAGTTAATGATGCAAAAAATAGACCAATAGTGCAATAATGCCAAATAGCCTTATTACTTAATATTCCATAAACCTAAATTAAATAGTAGCTTATTTTTAATATGCCATAAATTAAGCAGCAACTTAGTTTTCGTTGTTTTCCGATTTATATTTTGATAATTAATTATCCAAGCTAGACAAAATATTCAGTTATCTTTCATACAAAGTTTAGTAGGTACCTGGCTTTTTTCCTCATTCTAAATAGAGGGTTAAATATTGTCAGTAAGAGTTGTAACTGGAAAAATCTTAATGTTGTAAGTCTAACTGAAAACTTATTGAGTATTTCTGAATGTCAATCTCCAAAGGATGGGTCAGCTTTAATTTAATCTCTCTCAAGTTAATAAAACTAATTTATTGGTTTTTTATTGTTTTTTTATTTGTAACTTTTAGGAAATTGCTTAATTTACATATGCACTATTGTTTAATTTAATATATGATTTAACTTTTTAAAACATTTTATTATGTTTTTAAATACGTAAATTCATGCATTTATTTCTGAACTTCTTAAACTTCAAAGTTCTATTGTCCATTTTTAACGTCAATGATATAAAGAGAGAGAAATTAATTTTTAATATAGAAATGTTATCAGTATTTGCATCGGTAAATGAGTCAAACCTTTGCCTTAGAAAAACAATAAACGCTTTAATACCTACGTACCTTGGTATATATATATATTATACTAGACTACTGCTAAAAGTCAGGGCAGTTGTGTATCTCAGTGGAATCCTTTGAGGACCTAGCCTTGAGGATTTCATGAATTGGGATTTGACAGTAAGAGAACTGGGATCTGAGGAAAGAGAATGCCAGGAGTTTGAAATATTAAAATTATAGAAGAATAAAACTGTTTGTTAGTTTTGAGAAAATAGTGCCCACTGGTTGATAGATAATCGGTTTTAGTTCCTATCAATTTTATTTTAAATTCAAAATTTCTATTTTATTAAAATTATCATTGTACCTTTTGCATTGTGATAGACGTTGACCTTTCGATGAGAAATATCTAAAATCTAGTAAATATAATGTATTGCATTGATAATTCTAATATTTGATTAGAAAATTCAGAGATTCAGATTAATATTTTCAGAAAAAAAAAAGTTGTAATGCATACTGGAAGAAATCTATATATCTTACTTTTGATGAAACTGAATGGAAAGTAAGTAACATAAATAACGTTGAATGCCTGAGTGCCATCCTTAGTGCTAAAATACTTAATAAAAGGATGCAGCTATATATATACATATATAATCATGAGTAAACACTTGCTCAAGTAAAATGACATTAACAGGTGCAGCATGAATGAAGTTAATTAAGAAGCTTTTTAGGTTTTGTGCTTATTAATATGAGGAAAACTATGTTACTAAATATCTGAAGTTTGCTAGGAATTACTAACATGTAGAGTTTTTTCTTTAAATTATACGAGACAAACTTTTCCCTTCTTTTACTAAATATGAATAAAACTTCTGTAAAACAGGAAAAAAGTTGTAGAGTTTCTCACGCTTGTGTAGCATACACTAAGTTCAGACTCTGAAGGACTTAGACGAAATTACTGCTATGGCTAAAATGAAACAGAAACGCGCGAAAGGTATAAAAGACCCTTTATTAAAAACTCTAACTGAACAGAGGGAACTTCTTATACTTACAAAGATATATGGCGTAACTCAAAAAGATAGAATTTCAAATAAAGCTAAGTTAAAGTCTTAGTTTTGCCAAAGGCTACACAGAAGTAATTACTGTTCCCAAAGGCTACTCAGAAGTAATTACGATAACTACACTGAAGTAAGTTGGCTCAAACCTCAAGCGTGACAAGCTCTGTTGGAAAGAATTAAGCAATGTTTTAGAATAGAACTAAGCTAATGTAGAATTTTAACTAGTAACTGAGTCTTCAGCGGGCGGAACACGCTCTGTCTAACCTGTCTAAGCAATCTAAAACCTCCCTTTAAATCATATCTCTCTCTGCCACATTTGAATACGCGCGAGCTAAAATTACCATTCTGGCAGGAAAACGGAAAGGGAGAAATGATCATGAACATAAAATAATTGGTTATATAAAATAAATAAATACCTTACAAAGTAAATAAATAAGTAAATAAAATAGTCACAAATTTGCGCCAAGTATCAAAGCAAGTTTAATGTTAGTATTTAAAGAGGAGCATTAAATCATTATATCGCTACAATACACAAAGTAAAGTACAATGAAATTAAACATAAATATTATATGAGAAAGTCTAACATAAATAAAAAATTAGAAACTAAAGGTTTTTTTAATTGTCATTTGGTTTCTGAAACATAGTAATCGAATCAACAGATTATGTTTCTGTGATTTTATTATTTTACTGCATTTTTTCTCGTAATTTGTGATCGATTTTTATCATATTTGACTTTTTATTTTGTTTGACATGAAGAATCATCATCATTTTCATAGTCGTTATTTTCGCCGTTTATCAATTACATATATGCATACATAGACTAATGTTCAAAATTAAAGAACATTTAGAAAATTCTTCTTTACTTGTGTTGTATTAAAAGGAACATTTTGCAGTTTTAAATGAACTGTAATAAACCCATGGCACTATATTTCCTTGCCTTTATAAGAAGAAAGGTATGCTTGATTATAAAACTTATAAATCATTATACCTCCATAACCTTACATAAATAATTAATATAATATGTAATAAAATGAATTGATTTGCAGACATCTTAGCGTCTTTACACGGAATTAATTAGTTTAAGAATGAAATCTTTAAATGCTCAGTTCTTCTTGGAATTCTGATTCAATCGCGAGTCTAGCTGCTTGGTGTCACAAGTCCTCGCAGGTATATTCAGTGGGATTTATTTGCAAGTTGCATGCTGGCCAGGTTATTTGAACTTAAGACAAACTCTACGAGTTCTTAAATGCAAAAAAGCTTGCTTCGGGGATATGAAACCTTTGTAAGAAATTTTATGTGGAAATATATTTTAATCGCCAAAGAGGGCGTAAATCTTTTATGATGTATATATTGGATCTGGCACTGCCAGTTGAATGTGTGTTAGACGTGAATAAACATGGGAGTTTAGAAACCTGATTTGTAGTGTTTATGTATCTTGATGTTATGTGTGATTCGAATTAGTGTTTTTTGAACTAAGATATCTTGCAATTCTTGACAGTTAATATAATATTTTATACTTTTGGCGCCCAACAGTTGCGCACGAACAATTTTTTTTTAATTTAGAATGCGTTGTTTTTCGTGTTACTGAAAAATTATTCCTTTGCACTGAACGTGGCAGGATTTAACGTTCGGAATACGTGTGAATGTGCTTTCACCAGGAAAGTGAGTTACCAAATTTGGATTATACCATTTGAAGCCTGCACCAGGTAAGAGAATAAAATTACTTTTGTTGTTATTATGGCAGACGATATTATTAAATTGAAATCTGCTAGAAAAAGTCCTGAGACAAGCTATTTCTAAAATAATAAATGTTGTAGAACCTGAAATTAAAAAAGACATTTGGGATAAGAATATGGTAGAAGAAAATGTGTTTTTACTTACTTCTAAACAGTCTGCGTTAAAAGAAATTAATGAAAAAATATTGGATTGTTTTAAAGGGGATGAGTCTGAAATTGAGAAAGAATGTAATACTGTGTTAGAGTATGATGAAAAAATAAGTTTATGTATTTTTAGGGCTAAAAAGAAACTTAATTTAAATTCTCAGATAGTGAGCATTGAAAGTGAATCGCCTGGTAACCATACTGCTGCCGTAAAGGTCGAAAACAAAACTAACATTCGATTACCTAAAATTTCAATTCCTAAATATTATGGTGATCCTAGTTTATTTTTGGAATTTTATAATTCCTTTGAAAATGCTATTGGTAATAATAATGAGTTAACAAAGGTCGAGAAGTTTACCTATCTTAAATCCTTACTCGCAGGACCTGCTTTAAGTGCAGTATCCGGGTTTGCACTATCTAATGAAAATTATGACGCTTCTATAAGTTTAATTAAAGAAAGATTTGGACGAACAGATTTGGTAATATCTTCGCACATGAATAAACTCTTGAATCTTGAACCGGTTAGAAGTTCGTCCAATGTGAAAGCACTAAGAACACTATACGATTCCTGTGAAATCAATATAAGAAGCTTAAATTCATTGGGTATTGTGTCGGAAGCTTACGGAACCCTTTTAGGACCTGTTATTTTAAAACTTTTACCAGACGATATGAATCTGGAGTTTAATAGAAAAAGAAACTCTAAACAGCAATATAGCCTAACAGAACTTCTCGAATTCATTAGATTGGAAGTTGAGAGTCGGGAAGCTTCTAATTTAATAATAAACTCAAAGAAAAGGGACACAAATTACGGTGTTAAACAGAATAAAAATAATTACTTAAAAGGGGCAAGTGTTCCTACTGCTTCGGCGTTAGCTACAGTGACTAAGCCGTATTGTTTCTATTGTAATCAAAATACACATGATGTAGGAAAATGTGAGAAAACAAATGAGCAAAAAAGCGATATTAAAATACCATGGACGTTGTTACAGATGTTTTAAGAGAGGTCATGTAGCTTCCAGATGTAAAATGAAACTTCAACCTTGTGAGTTGTGTAATGGTTTAAATCATAATAAGCTATTTTGTAAAAATATTCTTCCTAAAGTGGAAGCAGTTTCAGATGTTAAACAGAAAGTAGTTACAGTATCAGATTCTAAGCAGAATGTAGTTGCATCCCTGTCGTTTAACTCTGAGACTGTTTCTGAAACTGCTGATAAAGGTGTATATTTACAAACTTGCACTGTTTACGCTTCAGATACAGATAATACTAGAAGCCAAATAGTAAAAATCTTAATTGATGGTGGATCACAGAGGTCATTTATTAGATCTGATTTGGCTAAAGAACTAAAATTAAGGACTTTAAGGAAAGAAAGGTTATATATTTATTCATTTGGGTATAGCCAAGGTAGACTAATAGAATATAATGTTGTTCAAATTACCCTGAAAAGTATGCATTTCCCTAATGACTCAATCACTATTGAAGCTCTTTGTTACAGATACAATTTCTGGAGCGATCATAAAAATTCCCTCCAAAAACATTTTAGAAATATTAAAATCAGAAAATCTAAAATTAGCCGATAGTGGTGAAGCAGCTGAAATAAAAATATTGTTAGGATCTGATTCATGTTGGGAAGGCAAGTGCAAACAGGCGAAAAGAAAAGAGTAACTAATAAATTATTTGCGGTGTCTTCTATATTTGGTTGGTCCTTAGTTGGATCTTTAGAAGGTGATCAGTCTAGTGCCTGTATTTTTACAACTGGTGCTTCTCATTGCTTGAAGGAAGATAATAATTCAGTTAATGACTGTTTGCGAAGGTTTTGGACTCTGGACTATTTGGGCTTAGAGGAGAACAAGAATCCTGACGATAAATCAGTCATTGAGAAATTTGAAAAAGAATTGCATTTTACTAATGGTAGATATGTAGCTCGTTTGTTATGGAAATCACATCATGCAAACTTGGGTAATAATTTAGAAAATTCCAAGCGACGTCTAGTATCTTTGGTTAATAAACTAAAAAGTGATGAATGGCTTAGGGCGAATTATGATAGCATAATAAACGAACAGTTAAAAAATGAAATAATTGAAGAGTGCGAAATTGAAAGTTGTGATAGTAGTAAAATGTATTACATGCCACATGCTCCAGTTGTAAGAAAAAATGTATCAAAAACTAAAGTCCGTATCGTGTTTGACGCATCTTCGAAGTGTAATGGGGTATCTCTGAACAATTGTTTGATGCCTGGCCCAAATTTGAATCCTTCTGTTTTGGACTTGATATTGCGGTTCAGACAATACAAACATGCGTTCTCAGCAGACATTGAAAAGGCCTTTCTCCAGATTGGAATCTCTGAAATTGATAGAGATGTATTACGGTTTTTATACTTTGATAATAATTACAATTTGAAACATTATAGAATGACTCGCGTTCCTTTCGGTGTATCATGTAGCCCTTTCATTCTGGCGTGCACTATAAAAAAGCATATAAAGAAAATAGAGTTAGAAAATCCAGATATTTTTGAGATGTTGAACTGTTCGATCTACGTAGATGATGTTTTCTATGGTGCAGATTCTGTGGAACAGGCTTTTAAGTTAAGTACTGGAGCCTATTGCGTGCTTAAAGATGCCGGAATGAATTTGCGTCAGTTTAATACAAATTCCGAGAAACTAAAGAAACTTT